GCAACTCTCTGGACTCGAGACGAGCAGGCACCCACGAATTGGGCGGGTTGAGGTAGCGCTCGCAGTTGCGGCAGAAGTTGACGGTGGCCTGCTTGGGGACCGACTCGGTGATGTCGACCGAGTTTCGCAAGCACGACAGGCAGAGGTTGGCATTGTTGGGCGTGATGGGAGTGCCGCAGTCGGCGCAAAGCACCATGTGCTGCGCTGCTGGTGGGTGGTACTCCATGCTGAAAGTGTTCTCCCGCAGGCCGGAAGGTAGGTAGTGGAGTTGATGGTGGAAAGCTCAGGAGCACTGATGACGGCGGAAGCACCCTGGACGCTCGAAGCCGAACTGAGCTTCGTGGCAAAATCTGAAGGCCCAGCAAAGCCACCTGCAGGCACCCTTGAATCAAGAAGGCCTGCCCTCCTCGACGAGAAAAATTCGAGTGGAGCGGCGCTTGCTTGATTTTTTTGGAGAGTGGAGAATTTTTTGGCGGCTGAGCCGCCTGTCGTGCGCGACCAAGAAATTTCCTCTGCCTGTGCTGCTTGCGAAGCATTGCCGGACTTTAGAGCGCAGGTGGGGGTCGGAACCGAATTTCGCGCTCTATAGTGTTAGACCCCGTCTGCGGACCGAATCTGGAGAAATCCGCGATTCGAGTCCGAGAGCCGAGCCAGTCGTGCTAGAACGTCTTGCCTTGACGTAAGGCCCAGCAAAGTGTCAGGTGGAGGGTCGAGCTAAAAGTAGCTTGCTCGTCGAGACCCTCTATCGGTACTTGAACACCATCGACGCCAGCAACCTACGATTTGCCCAAAACCACATCGAGGTGAACAGCCAAACTTTGAGCATCCTCAACAACACTTGACATCGAAAATGTAAGCCCGAAGCTGCGACGAATCAATCGGACGTCGGCCGAGTGCCATCGACCTCGTGCTCTCGCAGAGCTCATCAGCTGACCTCACGATTTGCTCGATTCTTGCGTGTTTCGGCACTCGACAGGTCGGGAGCATCGTCGAATCTCACAGAACGCATGGACTCGCCAGCGCACGAGCAGACAAGGCAGTTCGTTCAGCAGAGCGGTGCGGCCATCTTTATGCTGGATGGGTGAGTATCGGATGGGCCGCCGGACATTCCGACAGCAGCCAGGCGACACTTCCCGCTGCGGATGCCCCGAATTGTTTCCTCAATGCTCATTTTGTTGCTCGACTTGATCACGAATCGCTACAGCGAACGAGGCTCGGGCAGGTCGCAACTGTGCGCCAAGCAAGCGGACGGGCGTTTGGACTGCAGGGAGATCGCCCTGGAAGGTAAGCTTCAGCGTCACACGCTTCGATGATACAAGCTCTGTACTGGACTGGACTGTGCATGCTCATACTCTTTCTCCCACGCTCGATCCCACGCTGCAGCCAAGTCGCTCTTCTCGACAATGCAGAGCCTCAACTTCTTCTGCACTTTGCCCCAGGACCCATCCAAGACCCACATCAACTGCCAGCGCATCCCTTCGTCGTAGCTCCAATCGCCATCAGACCCTTCCAGTCCAGAATGCCCAACTGCGACGGTAAAGGATCGCAATCGAATGCTTTAATCAAGGAGACTTGACCTCAGTCCTCTGTTGACCGCAAGATGTCGCAGAGGCAGTCTCACGCGCAGCTGTGTTTGTGCCCGACTCAGCGTCCTGTCTTAGAAGTCAACCCAGGCGCCAGTTGCAAGGACGACTTCCCCCTGAGAAGTACGCCACGAGAATACTGTTGCGTTGAGCCGACGTAGACTCAACTTCAAAGCAAAGGTCCGCTGGGAACCGGCTGCATTGGAAATGGCTGCATTGGAAATGGCCGGGCTCGAAAAAGAAAAGCGGCTGGGAAGTCGGGAAGATCTGCCAGTTTCCTCGGCTCAGCCGTGCGGATGAGCGATTTGCTGCGCTTTTGTGCGGCGCGTCGGCAAATTTGCGCGTGCGTGTGTGGGACGACAGGACGAGAGCAGCGATAGGCGCCGCCGATACAAGCAAGCTGAGGATGCTCACTCCTCGAGCGTGGTGGAGCAGTCCGTCGCGCGTGCTGCGCTGGGCGGCTCGCTTCCGAAATGCCCCCCCTCTCTCCCTCTCTCGCCGCTCCCGCCTTCGGATGGATGCATTTCTGCGTCGACGCGCTGCCAAGCCTAACCTTCTTAACAGCTTCATCTCACGCCGCCGCATCCCTTCCAGCGACCTCTTCGTCGCAGTGGATCAACAGGCTCTAGCTCACCTGACCCCGACTGCACGCAAGTCTGCATTCGGCTGCGTTCCGTCAACCGGTCGCGTTTACACGTGCGCGTTCAGCGTACATTCCTCGAACACGCTCTTTTCTTCTTCACCACGTTCCTTTGACCATCATCATTGCCTCGACCATCTCCGTCTCTTCGACGATACCCTCTCTTGATTCCGCCAGACAACACGTTTAGTTTGCTGAAAGGCCCTGCACAACATCACTCGATTCGCCACAGCAACGGATCATTCGCCAAGCCAGTCTCTGTGCTTACTATCGCGCACTGCTCTTGTACTGGCGTTTCTGCGCTCGTCGACTCGTCCTAACGGCCCCCTCTTTATCGCTCGAATGCCTTTGATCGTTCCGGATGTCATCGAAATCGGCAGCAGCGGCAGCAGCAATAGAGCATCCTCTCCCATCCCCGAACTGACCGTCACCAAGATGAACGGCAGATCCATACAACCACACGAGGCCGAGGACGAGGAGATGCCTCGGTCCTCCGCTGCCTCTCGCGTCTCGCTCGCAAATTTATTAGGCCCAAGCGGTCCAGGCTCCTCGCCCTACTCCAACACGCCACGCACATCGCCTCGCAAGCGGCCTAGCACCGACTCGCCGGGCACCGGTCTGCAGCCTCCAACCGACATTGCCAACGGCGGCAGCAGCAGCAGCTCAAGCACCACTCACAGCGAGGGCCGCGAAAGGCGACGTTCAGACGCAGCTTCACAACAAAGTCCTGCTCGAGCGGAGCCCGCTCCGGACGCCGCCCCCGCTGGCGACGGGAGCACAAGCCACGACGTACCCACGGTCGACGTCACCGAACCGGACGGCAAAGCGCCCGGCGACCGCGACGACGACGAGGACGAGGACGATGAAGATGACGACGATGATGACGATGACGATGACAAGGCCACCACCGATGCGGGCAGTGCGTCCGAAGCCGAGGGCGAAGACAAGGCCGAAGGTTCGTCAGCCAAAGACGGCGCCGGATCCGGCGAGAAATCGATCGTGCCCAAGAAGCGCTCTCGACGCCGCAGTCCATCTCCGCCAGAGGCTGCCACAGCACCGCCTCCCCCGAAGAGGCCCACCGTTCGCCTTTCGATCCTCGAAGCGAGGCAGAGCGGCTATCTCATCAACGTGCCTGAGCTCGTTCTTGCCAAACTCAAAGGTCAAGACCACCCTTGGGCCAAATGGTATGAGGAGCAGTTGCTCGAGGCAGCCGAACCCGAGCCTGCGCCACCTCAGGCTGGGCCGGAGGCGCCTCCGGATCTCGAAGGCTTTGGTAGCCTCGCAAGGCTGCTAGCAAAGTATCCTGCCGGCGAAGGGTCGGCAGCATCAGCAGGTGCGTCTGGCGCGAGCAAGAAGCGCCGCAAAGTCAACGATGACAAGTACGACATCGGACAGTACGACGTGCGCGATCCCTTCGTCGACGACTCGGAGCTCAACATCGACGAGCCCACGCACTTTGCCAAGCCCAAGGCCGACGGCTTCTACGTCACCCAGGGCACCGTCGAGCTTGCCAAGGCCAAGGCCATGGGCAAGGGGCAGCCTCTGCTGGGCAAGGACAGACCCAAGCCGCTCAGCATCCGCGACTCCAAGTTCGGCTTTGCCGGCTCTCTCAACAAGCTTGTGGCCAAGAAGGCGCAGCAGCAAGCAGAGCTACCCCCCATGCCCGCCTCGTCCTCGATGCAGCTCGGGTCGCTGCTCAACAACGGCGATCCGGGCAGCCCTGCTATGGGTGCAGGCTCGGCGCTCACCAACGCGCAGAGGCAGGCAGGTACACGCGACTCGCCCATCAAGGTCGACGACAACGACTCGGGATCGTCCAAGAATGCCGCCAAGAAGAACCGCTACCCAACTGAGCCCGTCGATCCCCGTCTTCAGGCGTCGTTTGACGATCTCAAGAGCAAGGTCGATGCAGAGAGCTTTGCCGTCAAGACCAAGTTCCCGGCGGCGCTCAAGCCGCCGCTCATCGAGACGGCCAAGCTGGCGGTCATGCTGGGCGAGTACGATGACAATTTCTTCAACCATCTGCCCACCATCTTCCCCTACAACCGCTTCACCATGATGAAGCTCGTCAAGCGCGAATTCTTCCCGCACCACATCAAGTACTTTGAGGATCTCAAGCAGGAGCACATGGATAAGCTCGGCCGCATGATCCAAGAGAGCTTCCCGCACCAGCTGGCCGAGTTCGAGGCGGCGCACAAGGCGTGGGTCGAGCGCGGCGAGGCGCCCAAGGAGGGCGAGGAAGCCGCGCCCAAACCTGCTACGGCTGCCGAAGGAGATCAGTCGATGGACGTGGACGGCAAAGAGGACGACGAGTCGGTGGAGCCGACCAAGCGCTGGAAGTGGAGCGAGGAGATGCGCGAAGAGGTGTTCGTGCTCATCACCATCGAAAACGCCATGAGCGAGATCCGCAACGAGAAGTACAAGCTCGAGAACTCGGCCGAGCAGTACAGCGAGATCAACGCCAGGAAGGCGTGCTACAAGCAGATGGCCGAGCTCTTCCCCGAGGACGGATGGACGACCTCGACCAACATCTCGCGCGAATATGCGCAGATCAAGAAGAAGAAGGACCGACAGGAGGCGAGGGGCGAGGAACTCTTCGGCGACTCCCGGGCCAGCAGCGCCGTTCCGGCCTGAGCCGGTATGGTTGGAAGGAGTCAGTCGGACCGCCACGTTTGGAAGACAAGCTTCGGCTTGACGATGCGATGCGGTCATGCGAGGGCGTCAAAGTCCGACCCCGTTCGAGAAGCAGCCAAAAGCAGGACTGCCGAGACAAGACGATGCGAGCAAGGCGATCCCAGAGCGATGCTCATCCCATCAGACTGGGTCGGGCGGATCTGGGTCATACTCGGATGCCCGACCAGGATGTCAGATGGGCATGGGGTGGTTCGACGGGACCTGGTCAACATGGATCTCAGCAGGCAGAGGCCGTCGCAGCAGCATGGCATCAGGAGCGGACCAAGGGGCTCGGCAGGCTCGATTGGTACGGTGCTTTCGATCAGGGCCTCGATCTACCCAGAACTACGACGAAGCGAACGCTTCAGCCGCTCGCCATGTGTCCTCCATGTGAACACATTGGCTAGGGCTACTGCACCGTAGCACAGGATTGCCCGAGGACAGAGCACCAAGTGTCCATGTGCTGATCCTGCTAGGCTCTGGCACCGAGCGCAGCTTCGGCGTCTTGCACGCAGCTGCAGGTCGTCAGACGCAACTTTTCCAGCACGGCTTTGCACTCGAGGAGGCACTGCTTTGCAGCTCATCAGGGTCTGAACAGCTGTAGCCCTCTGCACTTTGCACTCGAAATGTCACTTTCTCGGCCCTAGGCAGTCACAAAATGAGTCGCAGGGCCAAGAGCGAGGGGCCAAGCGCACGCACCGGGCCAACCATTAGGGCCGGAGGAGGATGAAAGATGCCGTTCTCGGGCTTGACAGGCGCCGGATCAAGGGACAAGCACACCCAGAAATCTCAGGCCAGGGGCTTATGAGGGGTCTGATGAGCAGTGACCATGGCTGTACGACTGGGACTTTCGTCTGCAGCGGCTTGTAGAGCGATAGCAAGTGGGCATGGGTCCGAGTGAAGCCGCAGGCGAGTTCAGAGTTGACAGCCTGTGCTGTGTGGGTCTTCTGAGCTCGTAGGCCCTTGTTCGGACGCTGCTCGATTGCCCTTCAGCCAGAGAATGCTCTTTGCGGCTCTTTGACCAAGCCTCATCCCAAGTGAGGAGCGTAGATAGTGAGAAGTCCATGTCTGTCAATGCCTTGCTGTGTCCTCGCTGTGTGAGGACAGAGGGGTTGGATTTTCTCGTGCGCAACTTGAAGTGTCAGGGAGGCGCGCGCGCGAGCGTCCGTGCACGCTTGGTTGGCACCGCAGGGTCTGGAGATTTTGAGCCGGCTGGCGTGTGGAGGTTGCGCAGCTTTTTTGGGTGCGGTGTTGAGCCGATGCGCCTCGGAGTGCAGGTGCCGTGCTGAACGCGAGGCTCAACTCGGCCGTCGGCTGGGCAGGAGCTTGGCCATGCCGAGCCTGGCATCGCAGTCCAGCCGATTTGCATCCACACGCAAAGAACAACAGGGTCCTTGGCGAAAGGACGACGGAAAGGGTCTCACGCTTGTGCAAAAAGCATGCTTTGGCTTGAGACCAGAAAGCGGGACGGCTGAATCTCCCAGGTTAGACCCAGGGCAAGCCCACAATGCAATGTCGTGAGGCGGAGTCGCACGAGCTGGGTCGAAGTGCGATGCGGCCGCTTGAAGGCGTGCGATTCGCCCGTGTATGCGCGAACTAGTCAAGTCTAGCCTAGCCTAATCAGGATGGCCCGTGTGTCTTGGCCCAGACTTGGCCGCTCCGCTGCGGTACCAAACACGCCCCTGCGCCGTGGACGCATGCCCTGCTCTCCTCCGCCCGTCCGCCACTTTCCTTACCCCAACGCATTTGAGATCTCAAGAACTCAGCACGCACCTTCTTACTATTCTGCCGTGAGTCGCAGGCTTGGCCTGAGGCTTCGACAGGCCGAGCGACAACGGAGAGGTGTGCTCGAGCTTATCGAGCGGTGAGATGCAGGTGCCGGCGCAGGGGCCAATGCAGCGTGGTGCATGGATGCGGGTGGGGCAGGTCACAAGACGTCCTCTCTGCGGCCAGCCGTGGCCGGCGTTGCAAGCGAGAGACGCCTGGGTCGCAGCCGAAAAATCGGCGTTGCGAAAAATGCCTTTACGGCTAGCGAGCGAGCGAGCGAGCGAGCGATAACGTTGGATGAGGCTGTGGGGACCGACTGAGCGGAGACGGAAAGCTCATTGTAATCTTGCATCGCATAGATGGCGCGGTGCAAGTCGGCAATCGAGGTGCTCGAGTGGATGGGTTTCGGCATCTTGGCTGGCCAACAATGCAGACCCAATTGCGGGGGATGGGAGGGGTCATGGGGTCAACGTCAGCGCATGGGCGGCTGGCCACGTCACACGGGAGGGTGCAGCGCGCACCCAAGCCCAAAACACCAGCAGCCAACTGAGGCAAAAAAAAAATATGCAGCTCCAGCACCCTGCATATTTACCCCGCACTTTTTCTGCGTATTTTTCTCTGGGGTTGGGCCATGCTCGTTGTGGAGGTGACCGAGCGCCGCAGCTCAAGTGCCTCGGCAAGCCTGGCTGAGCCGAACCAGGCTAGACATCGCGGGTTGACAGCAGCTTCACCTTATCTAGTGTGGAGCTCGGCTAGATGGGCGAGCACACTCTGGTGTTGCGGAAACCAAGCCCCGCTGCTTCTGCGACAAGGCAAGCCTCTACGCATCCCACCCCCTCTCAGCCGGCGCTGGATCCGGTCGCTCCAGCAATCCTGACTTGGTCTCGCTTGCTCCAACACCATGCGCTCTAAGCGCTTCCCGTGTCCCTCATCCTCTCTTTGCACGAGCTTGCGAGCATGTATGTTCAAGCAGACAAGGATATGAAAGATGCGAGATTTCTGCGAAAGGATCTGAGATGTATCGGGCCAATCTGGCGAGAAAGGTGTGCTCGAGAGCAGCATTTGCTTTTATACTCTGCGGAAAGGACACGGCGGGAAAGCCGACGAGAGGCCGGGGCTGGACCTCAGCGTGGAAAGACTCGGAGTTGCACTTGAAGCCTCCACTCGGTTGGCCCGACCGCGCCATCTGGCTTGCATCCCGTCGGTGTCGAGACTCCACCTAGGGCACTTGGCAACTCCTGCGTTGGGTCTCGGCTGGACCTGGGCGAAAGCGCGGCCGTCCCCACACGAGTCCGTCAGCTTGCGGCGGCAGGCAGTCAAGCTCCGCGCACCTGACCCTGCTTGTCGCATCGGAGGCCGCTGCCCACTTCACCAACTCGTTGCCTTTCACCTAGCGCTTAAATCGTCGAATCGATGCTCACTATTGTGGCAAAGTGGGTTGATTGCAAGTCAGGGAGGAGGACAAGGCCAGGGCCAGGGCCACCGGACATCTAGATAGCGTCAACCCTTGAAGCCAAACGCAAAAGAGATAAGCAGCGTTGAGCCGTGCGCTTTGCCGTTACGCTGCAGACCGGTATCCTTGAGACGGATCCTTGTGAGAGCACACCATGCTCAGCCGTGCCGCGCCGCGCACCCCAACAAAGCCAAAAGCACGCCAGCCAGGACCAGCCGAGCTTGCGCCTGCTCGTGTGGAGCAGCGAGCAAGGCACACCCAGGTCTCTCTCCGCCGCGCTCTCACCGCACTCACCGCACTCAATGCGGGACGACAGAGGTGCTCGCTCCGTCTGGTGCTGTTGCCGCTTCTGTTCTGCTGCAGCTGGTGCTGCACTGTGACAGTCGTATGCGCATCAAGAACCAGCCTCTCCTCCAGCTCCTCAGCGATCGTGCCGCACGCACTCGCCCTGGCCAGCTGAGGTGGTTCCTTCGGCTACCCCGCCAGGCTCTCATGCCCCCACCTAAGCGCTTGCTCTCCCTCCGAGACTCGTCAATCGACACTCGCCTGGTGCTGGTCCCCACATAGAATCCCCGCCCTCCCC